GTTTATTGAAAACCATAACTGTAACTTTCCCGCCTACATAATCAAAATGAGATTGTAAATGTATTTCATCGACCATTAAAATTACAATTCTTTCATTCTCTATTAAAAATTGTGAATTTTTTTTTTTAATATACGAGAGAAAATATTTACCATTTTGTTCATTACCTGGATTTACATTTATTGAGGAACGTACTCTATTTAGAGTTTCAGGATGAGGGAGAATTAAATTTCGAGAGTTTCTTAGATATTTATAACAATGTGGAGATATGGAATTTCAAAGGCTACAGAAAATTATAAGATCAGGAGAATATCGGAGATTATTTTTAGAAACATATAGGCACGTTATTTGCTCTAGAATAAAATTAATCATTTTTACTTTCACAGACTTTAGAACTTTTCAGCTTTTCAAGTAAGGTAGTTAAAACCTCTAATATGTTTTTAACATCATCATTTTTCTGCAAAACATTCAATTTCTTTTAATAGATTCATCAAAATATTAACATCTTTTATGGAATCAGGGAAAATTAAATATGGACAATCTCTGGACAATTTTCAGAAATGCTCAATAAAATTAAAACATTTCCTTTTTCAACTAAAATCCAAAATGGTGATAGTTCCTCTTTTCTGAGACACATAGAGAGTTCTTTCAAATTTGAAAAATTTCTTGGTTCATCGTGGGAACTTTTTGTTTTTGAATTGTCAGCCATTGCTTTATTAATCGATGTTGTTTCCATTCGCAGCTTTACTTTCTGGAGACATTCTTGCATTTGATGTACTTGGCTGCAAATACTGGGGTACACCAGGAATGGAAGATGGTACAGCATCGGGTTTTAATTTCGGAAATTTATGAATCAGTCCAGTTTTTTCATCAAAAAACTCGCTCTCTCCAATGATATCCTCCTTCCTGAAGTGAAGCTCACAAATCTACAAAAAAATAAAAAATGTGATTAACAAAGGCTAAGTGACATAAAAGTCGTTTAATCACTAAAATATAATATTTATTTATAGGGTATACCTTGGGCCTGGGTGCCTCCAGGTCGAAAACACTTGTATCATGGGTGCTTTGGGGGAACATTCCAAGTGGTCTTGTTTTTGTGTTTTATTTTTGAGAAGATTTCCAAAAATATTTCTTTTATACTTCACACAAATTTCACTATATTTTGTGCTTTGAACTATTAGTTAAAAATTTGACAATATATGCAATATTATGCTTAAAAACACAATATTTAAAATAGCATTTTACGAAGATTTTTGTTTGACACAGCTATAAAAGTTAATTTTAGTTCAAAACACAGTAAATGTACTGAATAATGTTGTCAGAAAATTCTCCTTCGAGAACTTTTACAAGTTTGTAAGATAAAATGTATAATGAGAATTAAAATATCACAAATTTTCTTTTTCTCAAAATCGATAAACACAATTATTTACAAAAAAAGTAAACAATAAAAATCTAAATTCTCCACATTTATAAGTAACAACTTCTATTTTATCAAGCTTATTTGATTTTGTTTTTTTAGCAGCTCGCCTTTTTTTTTTAAGGTAACGAAAAGCGTTTCGTATGTTCAATGTCCTGTTTGTCGAGTCCCAAGTACTTTACCAGTTTTTAAAAACTGGCATTAAGCTCGAATAGCCAGAATTAAACAAAATTACTGCAGTATAACCACCTAATTGTAATATTTGTAGTTCTACAAACGTACTTTTTGGAAATAAATTCCACGTGACACTATTAAAACATTCATTGGCATTTTGCCAGAAGGTTCTTATCACAAAGAGTCATATATACATACTTGATAGTTTATTATTGAACTTGGTAAACCAGGAGATATTCCAGAATATTCGTTACCATCGTGCAATGATTTTTGGTATTTGCACCAACTTAGTGCTCCAGCTGGACATTGCCCGTGCATAGGTTTGTTTTTTGATGAGCAACAGTGGATAAAAGCTGCAGACTACATAGATTTTAAATCTCCAACATTGCTACGTATGGCTGTACCATAATAGTTTTGTAGCTTGTCGTCGATACATTTTTCTGCGCCTAATCCTTTTTTGCTTATTTTTACATTTCTCAGTCTCGTACCAACGCTTTTTTTTTAGCGTGGACTATACATTCTAACTTCTCAATCGAATTTTCCCCATAAACATTCTTCACATCGGAGAACGCATTGCAGTCTCCATCTCCGAAATATTGCACATATCGTCGCTTTGAAACTAAACTGTGGTAACTCAAAAAAGCAAGTTTTTCAGGAGAGCGATTTCAAACTTTCAGCGTTAATGCTAATCGCGGCAATGCCATGATAATTTATCTGCTCTCTAAATTAACTTTATGGAACTAAAAAGATAACTGGTTGTTTTTCTAAAAGGGTGACTTTTTTTTTACACAAAATGACCCAAAAATCTCATTNATATACAAGGTCTGGCTATTAATTTCCAGGACTCATGGAATAACTCAGAAGAAAAAAAAGTTAAACACATAGCCATTTAATATTATTCGAAGTAATCCCCATCAGCCGTAATGCACGTCTGTGCTCGGCTGTACAAATTTCGGAAAGAAGTTTTAAAGTCCTCTTTTGGAATGCTCTTTATTAGTGACGTTACAGTTTTCGTGAAGGCTTCGACATCCTGAAATCTTGTTCCCTTCAGTGAATTTTTCTGCTTAAGAAACAAGAAAAAGTGTGTGCTAGGTCTGGCGGGTATGGTGGATGCTGCGACTCAACAACACCATGCTGAGCTGAGAGTCTCCTCACAGCAAACGCAATGTGTGGACGCGAACTTTTTCAATTGCTTCCGGCTTGCGTACGAACTGTGTGCGGATCATCTTCCACGCTTTCGCGTTCGAAAGCTTTTTAAACCATTAAAAAATTCTTGAGCGAGATAATGCTTCCTTGCCGTAAACTTGTTTTAACAATTTGTAGGTTTCTGCAGCTGTCTTGCACAATTTGAAGCAAAATTTAATGTTAATTCTCTGCTCCATTTCACTTCAACAACAGGAATTTAAGAGCTCCGTTTTAATGCGCCTTTCCACGAGAACCACTCACTTCAGAATGGCGCCGATTGCACTGCACATGAGCAAGAAAACACTCTTCAATACGCAATCATTAGCGCCATCTTCCGGCTTTTCTTTCGCCTACAGTTACGTCAGTCCTGGAAATTAATAGCCGGACCTTGTATATACATACTTAATAGTGTTTATTATTGAACTTGGTAAACCAGGGGATACTCCAGACTATTCGTTACCATCGTGCAATGATTTTTGGTATTTGCCCATTTATGCATACAAAGTTTCAAACAGGGTAACTCGGCGCACTGTGTAGCACTCACTTATGCTGAAACATTCTTTTCCGTCTTAGATGGATCGTTTCTGATATTTTTCTACTATTTTTATCCCATCACAATGACGCTTGTAATACGTAGGAGGATGCCCATTGTCTTCTTTATGTTCTGCTTACATATCTTCAACAGATTAGATTAATCATTCTAAGATTTACAGTGATACACGAAAGTCAGCATACACTTGCAAATTTTCCCATTTTTTGAAATAAAATGCAAATAAATTTCTTTTTCTCATTCGTATAGCTACCAGTATGCATTTGAATCATTATGTGTCTAATAGACATCAAACATTCTTAGATTATCATAATCATTTTCAGATTAAGTTAAAAATATGCGTTTTTCAAACTCACAAAAGTGAGCATACAGTTGGATTTAAATAGGTTTTTGAAGGTATTTGACCATCTTTTTATTCTTTTAATATATTTGTAAGAATTGGGCCATGTTTTATATAAGCTTTAGAGAAGATTTTTAAATGAAATTTATTTCATTAATTTTAAAATGGCAACTAAAAGAACTGAAACATCATTAGAAAACAGAGAACTGTTTATTAAATTGAAAAATGAGGCAAAATCACTCAATCAATTAAGTCAAACTATTTGTAGAAGTAGAGCTACAGTGCAAGGAATAATAAGGAAATATAATTTGACTAAAACTATGGAAAACTTGCCTCGTACTGGTAGACCACCAAAATTGAACGGTAGAGATAAAAGAGAAATCATTCGAACAATTCGTAATAATCCGAAAACTACTGCAGTAGACATAGCCAAACATCTTGAAAAGGTTAAAGAGACTAATGTAAATCCAGAATGTGTTAGAAGAGCCTTGAGAGAAGAAGGATATAATAGCAAAATTCCTCGTAAAACACATCTCATTAGTAAAGTCAATAGAGACAAAAGATTAGCATTTGCGCATCTTCATGAAAACGATAATTTTGATTACTGGAGCAAAGTTATTTTTACAGACGAATCTAAATTGAACATTTTTGGCTGGGATGGTAAGCAAAAAGTTTTTCGACAACCCGGAACAGAGTTAGAATTGAAGAATCTGATTCCTACACTAAAACATGGCGGAGGTTCAGTGATGGTTTGGGGCTGCTTTTCAGCTTCAGGTGTTGGCAATTTAGTCTTTATAGAAACCACTATGGATCGTTTTGTCTATTTGAATATATTGAAAAACAATTTGAAGCAATCAGTGAAAAAATTAGGCATAGGTAATGACTGGATATTCCAACAAGATCAGGATCCAAAGCACACAGCTGGTGTTGTTAAGGAATGGCTGTTGTACAACACTCCAAGACAACTGTACTCCCCTCCTCAAACCCAGACCTGAATCCAATCGAAAATTTATGGGATGAACTGGACAGAAGTATCAGAAAAAGGCAAATTAAAAGCAAATACAATCTTAAAAAGGCATTGCTTGAAGAATGGCAAAAAATCCCCCGCACTGTAACCGAAGAACTGGTCTATTCAATGCCTAATCGTATGAGAGCTGTTTTAAATTCAAAAGGTGAACCAACTAAATATTAATATATGGAAATTTCAAACGTAGAATTTCTTGTATGTTCACTTTCGTGACTTGCGAAATGACTGATTCTCCAATATTTTATATTATTTTATGTCTAATGATAAAAAAACTGCTGTTTTTTCTCATCAATTTTTTATTTCTAATCAATTTAAGCTAAATTGAATTCAATTCTTAGGTAAATATTTGAAATAAATAAGTTTCTGTTAATTTTGAAAGGTGTATGCTGACTTTCGTGTATCACTGTATTGTGAGATTTACAGTATCAGTGTGTGGAAACATGGGGATATATACTCCCGAAACATTTTCTGTCCTTCCTGCATTTTCATCATCATCAGCGACTACAGCAGCAGCCACCTGTTGTTGCTCAAGTATCTCCTGTAACTCTAGACGTCTCTCTTCCTCTCGAGACAGGAGATGCTCCATCTCTTCATTTTTTTGCTGGAGATCGTAGTTCTCGAGATGTGCAGCATTCAGCCTTTCAACAAGATGTTGATTGTGAAGCTGAATAGTAGTCAGCACATCTTGCTGCCTCGCAATTTCGTTCCCCAATGTTGGCATTTATATATATATAAGAGTATATAAGCTGTAACGATTTCGTTACTTGTTCAGGTTGAACTAAAACTCTTATAAAAAACAAACAAAACTTTTGATAAAGTTTTCTTAGTAAATATTGTATGTACAAGGTTGTATTACAATTATATACACCGTTATTTACAATTATCATCACTTCTGCCGAACACAAAATTATGTAATAAAAAGTTCTCAAATCGAGACGGCACAAGGTCCGCTCANCGTTACTTGTTCAGGTTGAACTAAAACTCTTATAAAAAACAAACAAAACTTTTGATAAAGTTTTCTGAGTAAATATTGTATGTACAAGGTTGTATTACAATTATATACACCGTTATTTACAATTATCATCATTTCTACCGAACACAAAATTATGTAATAAAAAGTTCTCAAATGGAGACGGCACAAGGTCCGCTCAGGATGCTTCGTCTCACCAGACTGCCTGTCGCCTCTGTTACAGAGTCCAGTCCTTCTCCTCTTTTTGCAGGTGCATCGAGTTCTTAGAATTTCGTGGGGAGACACCGGATGCCAGAGGTACTCCAGACTATTCGTTACCATCGTGCAATGATTTTTGGTATTTGCACCAACTTTGTGCAGACTACATAGATTTTAAATCTCCAACATTGCTACGTATGGCTATACCATAATAGTTTTGTAGCTTGTCGTCGATAAATTTTTCTGCGCCTAATTCTTTTTTGCTTTTTTTTACATTTCTCAGTGTGGTGTGATCATGGGATCACCACAATGTTTACTTTTCATACTGGGCTGTCTCCAACAGGAGCGCCCTCTTCATTGCCTTTTGCAGGATCTCTAGGGCTCGACTCATAGCTCGTCTTTAGAGATTCTTGCAACCGCTAAGGAGGGGACGCTATCTTTTGGAGATAGACCAGTATTCCCAGTGGATCTCGAGTAAGTGGTTGCTTCTTTAGGAGCACGATAATTTTTGTTTTTTTCCCCCTGTGTGCTCTAGAGTTTAATCTTTGATTTTTACCGTTATAAGTTTCTGCTACCTTATCTTCTAATTATTTATTTGATGCATCATGTAATTCTACAAGAAAACAATTATTATTTCAATGACTTAAATTACTATCTACTCCCTGGAGCACACAGGGAGGGCCCAGCTTCCACGTGTTGGATTCAGTTTCTTGTGAAGTTGATGAGCTGTATACTGGAAATGAACATGTTCTTAAAACCAAAATAAAATGAATAAAATGATGGGTGAAATATTATCTACGAAAACCAGTGTTTTTCTTTTGAAAAAAAAAAGGTTGTACCAGTCATCGGCGTGATTTAGAAAGGTGATATACCACATCTATCACAAGCAGTTAGCGGATGATCTACACCTCATGTCCCTTCCCCTTCATTTACTTTTATCACTCCATCATCCTACGCCAATTTGATTTGACCTGCCCAAACCGATAGGACACCTGGGTAGTGTCATGGGACCAGTAGCCGCGTTGTCGATAGCTGTTCAAGGCTACAGGCTTTGGTTTCTTGCCCCCACACACCTCCGCCCCACGATGCCATACCGTCACGCAATCTCCTTCAGTCCACCGAATGACACGATGAAGCGCCATATCCATACTACAACACACCAGCGCCTTCCAATGGTAATGGAAAGTGGTGTGACATTCGAAACATCTACATCCCTGAGCCGAATTTTCATAATGATCCATCACTTCAGAGATGGTTGCAGAAGACTTGACCCCAGAGAATCGTAATGCCGACTCCTTCGCCCCGAGATACGCATGCATTCCAAGATGTAATTGACACCGCGCTGACAACTTCTGGATCTTCTTCATTCTCCCCCAATCGATGCATCTGCTTTCGAGCATGAATGCGGCCACTCCCAGTAATTGTCGTCCCATCCACTCCCGCCTTACTCATCATCTTGAATGCATCGCTATGCAACTTGTGATCGGCAGCGAGGAACATCGCATCAACATTCGTCATGCATTGCCCTGCTGGTACCCGTCGATGTTGAACAAATGCAGGCTGCTGACCCAGATCAATCAAGAAGTCATGCGTGATATGCCTCTCGAGAAGGCCCTGCCACTTTCGCCCTGGACCTACCTCATCGAAAACTGCCAAATCACACAGCGGCGTAATGATTTCAGATATTACATCGGCCAGCTTCCCCTTGTACCCACGCAAATGAATCCAGGGACGGGTTTCCTCAACCGCATAGCCCCTATGATACCCCTCTTGATATCCCAGTTCAATGGGCTCTTCCCATGTGACGTCACACTCCCGGGGTGTAGGAATAAACATTCCAACACCAACACGTGTTTCTACAGTGTGATAATCATAATCTTCTGTTCTCTCTATTTTTAATTTCTTTAATTGTACAAATAACACTATTTATAAACTTAGTGAAACACCGTAATATGTTACAAATTTTAATTCATTGACAATTTTGAATTATAGAGCGAAAATGAACGAAAGTAGACAGAATTGCAACAGTGATACTATGTTTATGAATGAAAATACTAAAGGTTTTAAGAAGTTTTTAGAAAATTTTGTGAGTAACGTAGAATTTGTTGACTTTGTGGGGGATAATAAGCATTAAAAAATTCAATTTAAGCATTTGAAATTAAGAAAACATTCAAAACAAAGGTTAGTTTACTGTTGTTTTCAACAAACACTAAAGACAAGTTTAACAGATTTAAAAATTTATACGATGCATCTATCCTTATAGTCATTGATACAGCACAATATCACTATATATAATCATTAATATTAAACAATATAATTAAAAATTTGCCTACCTTTAGTTATTGGTAAAGAAAAAATGTGTTATAGTTAAGAGCAAATCCCGACAATTAAGGATAAAAAAACAGAAAAGTAAAACGCGCAGAAAAAGCTTCGTTAAAATAAATTTATACAGAAGATTAATTATTTACAAGATTTAGATTAAAGCATAGCAACAATAAGATATTAAAGTGTTTTTAATAAAGGATAAAAGTAAACACAAATGTGAAAGATNATACCTCAAAAATACCTCAAATCAACCTTAAATATACCTTAAATTTTCATAAGGGGGTTCTTATCACAAAGAGTCATATATATAGGTTTGATGGTGTTTATTATTGAACTTGGTAAACCAGGGGATACTTCGGAATATTCCTTACCATCGTGCAATGATTTTTGGTATTTGCACCAACTTTGTGCTCCAGCTGGACATTGCCCATGCATGGGTTTATTTTTTGAAGAGCAACAGTGGAAAAAGGCTGCAATAACTGCAGACTGCATAGATTTTAAATCTCCAACATTGCTACGTATGGCTATACCATAGTAGTTTTGTAGCTTGTCGATAAATTTATCAGTTAACTTGCCTTTGCCGCCTAGTCCCTTTTTGCTCTTTTTTAAATTCCTCAGTCTCGTACCAACTCTTTTTTGAACGTGGCCTATACATTCTAACTTCTCAACCGAATTTTCCCCATAAATATTCTTCACTTCAGAGAATGCCTTGCAGTCTCCGTCTCCAAAATATTGCACATACTTCAAATCATGATTTGCGACAGATCTTTCAAAAATTCTTTTTGCACCTATAACTTCCATACTGCCAGAAGATCCAGTGTGGTTTGCACATATGTGATCTTTCTCTTTCTTTGTGTTGCAAATACGACAGTATTGTGACATTATTTCCAGATCCAAAATCTTACCAGTATCAACAGAAGTAGCTGACACACAACCATTTAGGGAAGTATGTCCTCTTCGTTGCCAACTACCATCAACAGAAACACCACATGAATCCATGCCTTTTAACACTTTTAATTCCAATGCCTCTTTCATATTTTTTTCATTAGCAACAACCACAGCATCCAGAAGTTTTTTTTTTATTCTGTCTAAATGCATTTTTATCACTGAAAGGCAAATTCAGGCTGAAGAGCAAAATGTTTTCAGCAGAATAGCCCTTTCCAATTAGGCGTAGTCCCAGTACTAAAAGTTGGTTCAAATTATTTTGTTTATCAGTCTTTGAAGTAGACGGAGATCCTGGGGTAAATCCACATTTGCAAGTAATCGAAAAATTGGAACAAATTTCAAATCTTGAATCTTCGGCCAATTTCAATCCATCGCCAAAGCATACTGGGCAGCACAGAACAGCAATCGCAGATATTGAAGATGAAATATTCTATTTCCTTGTGAATTAGTTGTATTTTCAGTCATGAAAGAAAGCTCTTCAGTTTTATCCAAGCTTTGCTTTTAAGCACTAGCAGTATTTACTGTATCACTACTATTTGCATCAGTAGTTACATTGTAAGTTTTGGTGTGCCGATTACCGTGAAAAGATCTCTTCTTAGATCTCTTTTTTAGAAGCTCTAGCTTTTACCATACTTCACTAGAAAAGAAAAAACTTAAAATAACTAAAAAAATATCAAATTATATCGAAAAAGTTTCAAAATGTAACTAGAATCTTGTTCAAGAACGGAATGTGAGCGTGTGAAAAATGTATTAAACAGAAAATCTTTTTTTTTTTTTTGGACGAAATTATTCATTTTAAGGTAGGCAGTCGCCTTAACTTGTGTAACGAACTAGGAGGACTGTCTCCATTGAAATTATTGATTGAAAAATTATTCGGGCTTCTATTTTGCTTACAAAGGGAATAGTTTTATGGCTCATTTAGATAATTTTCCAGAGTTATTTATTGGGATTCATAGTGCTCTTTTGCAACCTTTAGTTTTTCATTTAAAGATCTATATTTTTTTCTTTGTTGGGTTGGCACTCCTCTATCAACATTCAACCTCATTATCTGTCCCTCATTCTCGGCTTGAATATTTCGACAAGACGAGGCACGTTTGTTCATTTTAGAATGCCACCCATCAAGGTTATTTGTCCTCTCACTCTCATAGTGATTCCATTGGGACCTGAGAAATAGGATAGTATTTGATTAATGTGATATATAGTATAAGGGAAAAACTTTTTGTTAATTTCTGATGCACCTAAAAGTTATTCTAACAGAAAAAGTGTGTACCATTTTAGTGTGTACCGTTTATGAAGCACAACATGCATGTCATTTCACAATTACAGTTTTTATAAGTGATAGATGGTAATCTAGAGTTTATTTCATCCAAATATGTGCTAACCATGCATGCCACCAGCCGACAGACCCACCTGGTGCTTTGTGGGTCCCGTTTATATTGATGGGCAATTTTTGCACCTAAAAGAAACAAAGTATTTGTTATTTTTCCCTTAGACAGTAATCTAAACACTGTTCTAACTGTAATCTAAACGCAGACTTATTTAAATAATATACTTCTGAAGTACTCATCTGTAAAGCTTCATCTGGATGATAAAATCCTGTCAAATTAATAATTTTTTTTTAAAAAAATACATATATATCAATTTCTCAAGTGTTACAGTTGTTTGACAATTCTTTTTAGAATGACTGAACATACAATCTAGAATCGAAGTGTTCTAAAGATTACTTGGTTATTTCTCACATTGTGAAATTTTGCCTACGAAATATTTCTTCTCTGATTGAAATTTAAAAATACATACTCGTAAAACAATACTTAGAATATTAACACTTGATTGTTTTCATTAATTTCAAAAAAATAACGACTGTTTTCATTAAAAAAATCATCATGAACTTTTTGTAAGGCTAACAAAATCTGTGAAGCAAATTTGCACTTCAACTTGATGTTCGCCTTTTCTCAAACTTTAACATCCCGATCACCACATATTCATACGAGTATCTTCAGCCACACTTCCGTCACACTGCCTGTTATGATTTTCGGTGGTAAATGAATCGATTATATCTTGGTTATAAAGAGTTACAACCAGATTCCAAGAACTTATAGCCTTTGACGGAAATGTTTGGAAACTAGTCATTCAGGGCATTTGTTACTCCCACCTCAAAATCTAGCATACTGGAGGTAGGTGCAAAATTGAGGCCAATATCCCTTGCTGTAGCTTTCATCTGCTGGAAAGGGCGAAGGTACGTCTCCTTTCGTTTATCTTGTAGTAAGGCAAATGCAAAAGGAAACATTACCCCTTTGTATCTCGCATGGATGGTGTAGAGTTGCTCAAAGAAAGCTGGTACTATTTTAAAAGTTCCATCCAGCCAGGTTTTTTCTGCTGCACGCAATATTCTCAGATTCTCCACTGTACGGAAAACCTGAAAAAATGTTACTTGATACTATCAATCTCTGATAATCGCTAAGCAACAAAGTTCTAAATCTATGCTATCTATTGATCATTGTTGGAGCCCGGATTTTGATCAAAAAAATCTTAACTAATACCCTTAAAAAAATGCGAAAATTGCTCTAAAAATGCTTTATGACATAACTTAAATAAAGTAAAAATATTGAACTAAAACAATGTTTTACTCTTTAAAATTATTATGTGTCATTTCAAAAAATATAAAGCAATGTAATACTTGTTCTACGTTCATTAAAGTTTGAAAAATATGTTTTATATCCTAAATAACAAAAAACAAAGGAAAATATATTCACTCCACAACATTTTCATTTAACGAATATAACAACTTTCATCTCTTAATATTACTAAATATCAGAATTGCTATCTTAATTGATGCGGCATCTTCTGAATCAAAACTACTGGCGATAAACTTCACTATCTTAAAATTTTCACTGTAGTATAAGCATACATCCAACAAGGTACCCCATGGTGTGATTACTGGTTGAGGGGGCGAAGCTAGACTAGAAGTAAATGTTTTGAAACATTCTTGACGATATGGGGCTTTCAGAAAAATCTTTCACGTTTGACTCCAGACTGTCTACGTCAGAGTAATTTACACGTATCTCTTCGGCAACACAATGAAGTGCATGTGCGAGACAAGTAACATGAACTAGTTTTGGATAAAATCCTTTAACCACTTGATCTGACAAAAAAAATCACTGACGCGTGTACCAGAACGGTCCTGTATAACTTGCTTGGAGGCGGTTATGTATATATATATAACTTATAATAAATATTTATAACTGTAAGCTAAGCAGTGCACTGATGATCTATACTCTGACAACAATTTCACCTGACGTGCCACGCATGTCGATTTTGTTTCTGTAACAATTTCATGATGAAAAGTCAAATACCACGTCGTCGGCGATTCTGTGACAACAGCATTATGACGTGCGTGGCACGTCTTTCCAGCGCAAGTGGTTAATTGACAATGTCCCAATTATATGTGGGCAACTCGTGATCCCCTTCAATAACCGCCTTACCCAGAAGAATCGCCATAGCTCTGCGGACAGTTGTATCGATCTTGATACTTATAATTGATGACTTTTTCATCTTGTCGACTGGAATTAAATTTGAAGTGAATATGAGCTTCTAACAACAAAACTTATTTATGTCAAGAAAACATATTTCAGGGAAAAACTTATAGAATTAATTTCCCAACTGTGCCTTGTGTTTCGAATATTATTTTCAGCAATGGACACCAGTTACAATAGCTATTTGTAAAAGAAAAAAAAAAAACTAGGCACTTAAAACAAGATTTTACAGGCGTGCATATTAGTTTAATAACAATCCTTTAATTACTAAGGCAACATAATCTTCAGAGTGCTATTTCTAGAATTAAAAAAAAAATCACTTAAGACAAAAATTTTGGGTAATTTTGTTTAAATTTAATTAGTTTACGACAATTAAAAGGCTAAAACATTAATGAACACATATTTTTTATACTATACCTATTTAAAACTTATTATTTAAAATTATTTATGTCTGCTGCCATATTTCTACATATTTTTTCCTCTTCAGACTTTTTAAAAATATAAATGGTGCACTACTGTATATATTTTTCTAAATCTTAAGATCTTGGTTAACGTTAGAGTAAATAAAAATTAACGACTAAAAATTCTACTTGGAAAAATTTAAAGGAAATTTATCAGTTAGTGTCTTGAAAGATAAAAGTCTTAAAAATATCCTATTACCATGCAACTAAATTCTAATTAATGCACATGGCTCTTCCTACATGAATTGCATGCATCAGAATCGAGTGACGGAGAATACTTAACATTATTTAAACAATTACCTGAAATTACAGCATATATGCAACGACGGAATTCTGTAGCATCAAAATTATCAGTAACATTTTCATTATCTAAAATCTGGTTAGTAAAATGAGAAATAAGTACGCCACAATTGCATCTTTCTGTTTTATATGTAAAGGGTAAGGTATAGGCCACTGGTTTTTTTTTTTTTTCAGACAATAAAACATTGAGTTATGCCTTCCACAAATCTAAAACTTCTGCATACCGATCTTCATTACCAAAATCTAAGGGATCATAAGAATTAAATTTCCCCTGCCCCAATTTAACAACTAACAAAAACCCAATGATATAAATTTATGTTATAAATATGAAATGGCTCCCCAGTAATTTATTACGATTAAAAGCATTGGCAAGCAAACCCCGCCCATAATAACTTCGGTATGCATACAACTGGCTGCTAATGAATTTTTTACCTTGCAAAATCTTTGAATTAAAAGCATCAACAATACTGTCGTATAACCAATCCCTTACAAAAATTGATGAACATTTTACTAGAGCCTCAACCTCTTCTTTAGGCAAAAACGGGTCTAAAAATTTAATTTCATAAAAACGTAGCGGTATTTCACGTACACGTAACACTACTTCATTTGAGTATAAAATATAATCCATTTTGGGCATGAATGAATCGATTAGTTTCCTGCTAACGTCGTCCTTATTATCAATAAATACAGAATTTTCTTCTTCTAATCTTTAGCTTCAAGAAAATCATTACAATATCCAGTGGCTTTTCGTTTGGGCTTCCTAGAGGCTTAAAAACCAATTGTTTTGTCAAATTGTTGCTGATTTGAAGAAATATTTAATGTAGGAGAAAAACTGTGCACGCGTTGAAGAGTCTGTTCTCCCTGCAAACCTTCACACAGAGAAATTAATTTCTTTAAACTATTGTTAATGTATGTCGAAATGGTGTTCTGAACTGCCTTATCTTGGACTAAGTTACCTAACTTGGCTAACAGAAAATTGTTTTCCTTTATCTTACTTTCCACGTTCAACGCTTTACAGTGCGCTTTAAGTGGTGAGTCTTTCATTTATTGTGAAAAAAATTCACAATTGTGAAAAATTCAAAAATTGTGTCAGTATCAGAATGCGGAAATTGACGGTGACACATAGTCCAGAGAGGTTTTCTGTCCTTACTGCAATAATTGTCAACAAAATAATTTACAAATATAGACGCCTTTCCAATATATCTTCCTTTAAAAATGTCTATCAATTGATGGTTCCTCTAAAATTGCATTTAAACATGCATATATCTCTTGCCTCAAAACTGCATCAGAAACGGAAGAATTTAATTTTCCACTCCAAGCCCTGTGGATGTGCCACTTACATAAAATATGGTTTTCTTTATCTCCAAAAACTGCCTGAAATGCGGGGCCAGTAGCTTTGTCATCATCAGTCATAATATTGTTTACTTGTCCTGGATCCTGTCTTTAATGCTAGCGAAACAAATAGTCATCATATCCTTATCTAGTTTACTTATAATTAAATGAGTAACTGCATAACCCCACCCATATTCATCCTGAACTAATAAATTAAGTAAATAAAAATCTTGTTCATTAGTTTTATGTGTAGAATCAATACATAAAATTTTACCACCACATGCTATTTGCATCTCCTTTTTTTGAGCCGTCTGTATACCCATGACAAATGAATCCTCTGGTAAATTCATTTCCTGATTTGAAGGACCAAAAACAATTTCTTGAAACTGAGGTTTATACAGAGTTATACTGCCACTGAACCATATCATTTACTAAATTGTAAACAGCAATTGCATCCTCTCTATGCAGCAGTGAAGAGAATTTGACAGTGTCATAATAATATTTTAAATTTTTGTTTGTAAGAGACTCTTTAATAAAAATATTGTCTTCACCTCTAAGGTTCCTGTTACCTCTAACATTCTCAATAACTCTTGCTGCTGGGACACCTAGTTGAGCATTTGTTTTAACGTAATCTCGAAAAGTCTTCTTTAGTGGCTGGAACTTAATATTTTCTTCTGTTAATGCGTGATTATGTTTAGAAAAATACTTCATTAATTTCACCTGTGATCTGGCTATACGACCTACATCTGTAGGTAAAACTCCTTTTATATTTTTACGACTAGTCTTTCTTTCATGAAATTTTATTTCTGTTCTGGAAAACTGACAAGAATAATATGAATAAGAATTTTTTCCGTGAAGTTGCGTGCCATGATCCTTCTTAAATCTAGAATATGTTCTTGATGATTCTTCATCCATCCAAGTATTAAAACTTAACATGTCTTTAAAATTCAACGTAGTTACACTCATATGTAAGGAAACGAAACCTAGCACTGCAATCTTGAAATGGGCATTTCCCTGTCTCGTTATCTGGTACACTTAAATCTGTAGGAAGAGCAGAAGTGCAATGTTTACCATGATTACTAAAAGAAGATGAAGAATAGTAAGTCTTATTGCACACAGCACATACTTTTTTGATATTCTGTCTTTGAAGCACCGCCACCACAAGTGCCTACTTACGTCATTAGTGAATAAACATCTAGTAAAGAAATCTAAATAACTGAGATTATTATTTGAAACTGACCAAATGGGATACTTTAAAGAGCTTACTATATTGGAATGAGTATTATTAAAAAATGACAGATTTATGTAATCAATATAACTTAAACTACAACTACCTAAGACTGGTTGCTTGGTATTACTTAAAATAAAAATTGGACTTGCAGAATGGTGAAACAATAATCTATGGCTAAAATCACCTAAATAAACTAAACTATAACTATTAAAAAGTAACAAGTTTGAATTTACCTGAATTGAATCCATACAATCATTTTCTTTTAAACAATACAACCCTTACATTTACACTTATAAAATTTCAAAAAATAAATTATTTAGAAGCTAATGCTTGAAAAAAACTTATATTATCAATAATCAGCTCGTGTAACTAGCAAAACACCTCTTTGCCATAGAGACTGGTACTTTTTTACTAAAATAGAAAAACAGCACATAAATAGAAAATCAACAGTTGATACAATGTACTACTGTATCACAGTCTCTTATGGTAAAAGTAGAAAAATAATAATACTAACCAAGAAATTGTACCTCCTCAACTTACATCCTCTTCTTCGTTAACAGTACTATTGCTATCATTAGAGAAGTCACAACTATAACGAAGCAAGTGTAATGAAACATATGAGTAATCTTATAACATAAAAATGAAGCTAAGAGTTATGAAATCAATGAAAAGAACTTCCCTTACCTGCTACTTTCTACCACTATTTTTAAACCTTCTCTTTCCTCGACCATAGTATCATTCACTGCCCTTCTACATCAAGAAATTAATATATATATTTACACACTATACAATGATTAAAAAAAAACTAGAAGTGAAATAAAAATCTGAACACAAAATAACGAGTAGATAAAAAGAAAAAGAACTTACCGATAAGCTAAGCACTTAGACTTCAACTCCCATTTCTCTTACGATCTCTCCCTTTTACAATTGAGACTGCCACACTTTCTGAACTGAATACAAAAATAACACAAAGAAATCAGCAATTGACACATATAGTATAACCGGCACATAGCTCAAAAGATTTTGAACCCCATTTTCACATATTGTAGGAGTAAAACATAATATTCTCTTCGTTATTTCTTTAAAATTTTACAATTTTAAAGAAACAGATAAATAAATATCATAAAACTTTAAAAAAAAAAAAGTTCAGAGTTATAAAATAGAAACAAAACGACTAGGATGGAAAGAAATTCACTTACCAACTTGTTGCTACATTCAACGTTATGTCTTCTTGAAGTACAGCATCATTGACTGCTTTTCTACGTCCACAATACAATAAAAAATAGATTACACAATTTTTAAAGAATAGTCTAAGATGCATCACAGAGCAAACAAAAAGTTCAAACACAAAATACATAAAAATCAACACTTAGACTCAAAACTGCATTTGCCTCTACGCTTTTTCTCTTTTGCACTAGAGATTGCCACTTTTTTTACATCTAAAATATATAAATATAGGCATGACTGCTAACATGAAAAAAAAATCTAATAGATATTACGAATTTCCTTCTAACTATTATGTAATGTCCAAAATATTATAAATTTTAATGGGCATTTTTTACTACAAATAAAATGCAAAAAATTTGTTAAAATTAGCAAAGATAAATAAATTGCAATAGCACAATTGGCAGATAAAACTAATCACAATTCTCAGAATTACACTTCACCTCATAATCTACAATGATATGAAAAATGGAAATCAATTTCTACATAGAATTGGAACAGGAAGCAAATACTAACCCAGAAACTTTAGCTTGAAAACTTATCTTTAGCAACTATCGTGCAATCATTACCTTTAGAGCTTTTGCAACTACAATGGAAAAATAAATAAATCAACAATAAAATAAAAGCAAATAGAGGTTTACTTCACACACAACTTATAAAAAAAAAAATCAACAAACTCAAATGATGAACAGGGTTGAAAAATATCTGAAGACTTAGACCTAGAAAATTAATACAAGGCTGACTTTCATAATATATAAAAACTGAACACCTATTGCCTAGTTGACTTTTAGACTTTTCCATGCCTTTTATAACATCCGAAACAGTTGGATTGGCTATTTTACGACACCTGTAGCACAAAAATAAACTTGATTAAAAATTAGCCATTGGGACAGTTCACACCAATAACCAGCTTGTTCTTTAAATACGGACTTGTTCTTCAATTACCATTATACCTTTGACTTTTGCAAACAATTTTTGCAAGCTGTTGAGTCGGTTTGCAACACAATTCTTAAGGGGGTAGGTGCACGTAGAAGAAATCCTATCTCGATAATGTTGAAATTACCCAATTTTGATGTACCTTTTTTAAAAACTATTGAACATTTTTAAATAATTTTTTTTTATTCATTATATGCATTCTTCTACACACTTTAACCAGAGCTTTTGTAATTTGGAGTTTTCATTATTTTTAAAAAAAATAAAATCCACATTTATACAGGATTTTCTTAAAAATTTTGAAAATTTTACTACACATGCAACCACAAAATATAAGTTAATGTATATAATCAAAATTCCCTTGGTTAAAATGTTTATATATACATGGAGAAACAGTGTGTAAAATTTAATCACATTAGGATTAGTAGTTTCTGAGAAAAGGTACATTTTATGCTAAAAATAATGGTTTTGAGAAAAACAACATTTAGTAAAAAAAGTTAATATTTAACTCCTGACATCAATTTATATTAGATTTTAAAAATAATCAACAAGAATGTGTTTTGAATAATATATATCTGGTATTTGAAAACTCTATCTTTTCTAGTTTTTTTAAAAAATTCAATCATCTGGTCTTGAATGAACACATTACAGGCAGTCGTTACCGTTCAAATGTAAGCAAAATATAANGAATGTGTTTTGAATAATATATATCTGGTATTTGAAAACTATCTTTTCTAGTTTTTTTTAAAAATTCAATTATCTGGTCTTGAATGAACACATTACAGGCAGTCGTTACCGTTCAAATGTAAGCAAAATATAACTTCACTTTGACGCATCTTTACAGAAACCTATTTGACTTTTTATATTTTTTTATAATCATTTCATGCAATATTTCTAACATTTTAACCAAGTACTTTTCAATTTAAAGTTTTTATTAGAATTTTAACAATATACAGACATACAATAATAAACACAAACATCATCACCTATTGTCATCAAAATAATAATTTTTACAATAATACTACATTTTTATGAATAAAATAATATTACAGTTCTAAATTATGTAAAATTTTGTACTTTAAATAAGAAAATATACTTTTTTAAAGGAAAACTAAAATTTGCCCATTTAAAAAAAAAAAAAAAAAGACTTACAATTTTTGAATACATGCCTTTAGCATAGCTTGGATTGTCGGGATTATCTAACAATTTATCCTCCAGTACACATTTCCTTTTCCTGGCCTCCATAGTTTTTTTGTTTCACATCATATTCCGCTTTACGTACACGTGCTTTATCGACCCTCTTCATAGCTCGGCTTGTGTATAATCCTGGCGTTATTCCTAACTCTGACAAAACTTTGCACTTCACAATATTTCCCTCGTTGTAACAGCCAACTGCTTCGTAAGCTCCTATTTTTAAAGTATCTAGTTGAACAAAGGTACTTTTTGGAATACGAGACCATAATATGTTGTTAAAACTTTCATTCGAGTTCTGCGTTTTTCCATGAAGGCACTTGGCGGTCAACTCTGGTTTTGCTAAGTCTCTGTACACTTGCTTTATTTTCAATAAAACATCAGCAGGTAGACTACTTTTGTGACTGTAGATACCACCAGATAGTTTTGCTTTGTGATAACCACACCACGTGTTCTTATCTTGAGGACATAAGCCATGCTGCGGATCTTTGTCTGTCGAAGACTTGTGGAAAAACGTGGCCCACACAGCTTGCTTCATTGCTAGCAAATTGCCTGTATTGTTTCGAATCGCTAGACCATAATACAATTGAAGCTTGTCGATTTCTTTCTCAGTCAACCGTCCACTTCCTCCTATCGATTTGTCACCGCCCAACTTCTGACCCTTAAGGTTTTGTTTTAGTGCTCGCAATCTTGTGCCCATCCTTTTCTCCACATGCCCAATGCACTCCAGTTTTTCAACACTAACATCATCTCCATACGGTTTTGCTTCGCACACAGCTTTATATGCCCTTGAATCCCCATCACCAAGAAATTTTACGTATCGAAGGTTATGTAAGGATTCGGATCTTTCGAATATTGATACTGCACCATGCGTTTCCATAGCCCCACTATTCCCGTAAAAGTTAGCACGACAAAGAAAATCATGCTTTTGTTTGTTCTTGCATTTGCAAAATCTGGACAACACTTCAATGTCCAGTACTTTTCCTACGTCAACACTAGTTGCAATAACTGAACCATTCATTGAGACATGCCCACGTCTTTGCCACGTGCCATCTATTGCAACAGGAATGTCTTTGGAATTGCTAGCTGCTTCGGCTTCACTAGCCGCATCACTCATACTCTTCATAGCGACACTTTTTATTGCCGAGCCTAATTCACTTGTGACTTCATCAAATCTGTGTGGTGGAGCAGGTAAGTTCATTATTCCACAAAACATTTGAGCAGCTGCCTTCCCTTTTCCGATGCTTCTCATGGCATACGTTAATCTAGTATTAACTTCATAAATTTTTGTGTCTCTATTGTTGCACACTTTAGATGAAACTTCAGTATTTAAAAAAGACGTTTTAAAATCACACTGCTCACAGTAAATAGAAAGTTCAGATGCAAGTCCTTGAACTTGCCTGGAAAACTTTAGTTTTATGCTTTTGTTTTTGCAAGTTGAGCATAACACAGAATCATTCAAACAATTAGATAATAAATTTAAATTAATTATTTCATTTGCATTATTATTATTCAGAAATGATTCATAATCATTTACATGTTTATCCAGTTTGATTTTTGACGCCGATTCATTCAACTCAATGCTTGTAGATGAACACGCTGTTTTGCAATGAATACCAAACGATTTCCTTTTCGGCATGTTTATAACTAAATAGCTAATAAATAATATACGAGGTATATCCACAAAGTAAGTTCCGTTTGCTTACATAAAAAAAACGTGTACAGATACAGAAATTATATTTATTGCACAAAAATCTACATCTGTGAAACTAATTTTCGACATAGCTTCCGAAATTTTGTAGGCACTTGTCATAGCGTGGCACAAGTTTTTGTATTCCTTCTTCATAGAAGGTTGCCGCCTGTGTTTTCAACCACGTAGTAACATGCTCTTTCAGCTCGTCGTCATCGTTGAAGTGTTGAAAACCAAGGAAAGATTTTAAGTGTAAAAAGAGATGAAAGTCGCTAGGAGCGCGGTCAGGGCTGTACGGAGGATGGTCAAACACGTCCCAGTCAAATTCCTGTAGGAGTTCTTTCGTCACGTTCGCAGTGTGAGGTCGGGCATTATCGTGTAAAAAAACAACACCTTTTAACAGTAAT